TCTATTATGAGACATTTGACGAACAATTTGATTGTATGTTACAAAATGATGATTTTATGACCTCATACTGATAATAATTATGGGGCGTATTGATTACAATAGTCGACATAATTTACACATTTAAGTATACATCCGGCCCGTACTTATACTTTTCGATAACAATAAACGTTTGATAACATTAACCGTGATTATAATATGTGGCGACCACTGTATTATATATACTGATTTTTTTTTCTTCTTTCATAGGTTTCATCAGCTCCTTTTTAAACGACGCCTGGGGTTGCCAGGTAATGTTTGAATAGATAGGTTTTTAATGAGTGGGTTTTGGTGTGTTTGTAGGCGAGCATGAAATATTTTGTAGAAGCGTGTAGCTTCTTCTGTCACGGTTTTGATTGACAGATCATTATGTATAGTGTAATTCGAAACAAAGGGTGGAGCATTATCCAAAGAGCAATATTCTGAAATTGTTGAATTTTGTTGGTTTTGGACACTTTTGCTGTACCCCATAGTTGGAGACCATTTGTCCGTAGAGGTTTGAGTAATGTTCTATACATAAGAACTTTAATTTTTAAACTGAAGTGTTTATAAATTTGTGAGTAGAGTTCGTAGCCTGCGAAGTCAGGCGTTTAACCACAATTTTTAATTAATTTATAGTATTCGGTTTTTTCCCGTACTTAATCAATTTGATAAATAAAGTTATTCACCACTAACAAATCGAGTTTTTTTCAGATTTAATTTTAAATCATTCTATAACAAACAATTTTAAATAATTATCGAATTGGCAGGAATGAACTAATAAACTAAAATCACCATATCGCCGAGTATTGGCGTTAGTGTGGAAAAACGTTTTAAACATTGAACTGTTATTGGTGTTAACATTATCCTCATACCAGTTTCCTACAAATAGGAAGTATAATAATTAATTATATAATCACGTTTAATGCTCAATATTTCTTTTAACACATATTTCATATCATCGCATAAAGGAAACGGGCGAATAGAATATCGGAATATGTCATCGTATTGGGAATACTATTAAAAGTTCATAAGATCAGTATAATTATCGACAAACTAAGATGTCGACGAGTTGTGATTCAGCAAAGTGGGCATGAACCGTATACAAGAAATAAAAAATACTTTAATCCTAACTTTGATGGTAGTTTCTGATAGAACATTGTATTTAGTTGAAACTTTTAAGAGGTCAACATAAAAAATCAGGAAAAAAACATTAAAGAAAAACATTATTTTTTTACGCTGCAAAATCAGCATTCGATGAATTCGATTTTGTTTCAATTTGATTAAATTTGAATTTTCTATAAATGATAACAATTTCTAAATAATTGTACCCATTTTTTTTCTATAAATGTCTACAAAAAATATTATGCAAGGTCAAAATCCTTGAAAATGTAATACAAGGTCCTTCTTATAATGTTTTCAACCTACCAATTATTAATATAGTTTATCGAACACACATATTAAAACATTTTTTTATAAGCAGTTTAAGTTAGAATTTTGAAAAAAGTCATCAAAATAGAACAAATTTGAAAATTGTTAAGTAGCTTTGAAAAAACAATTCTAAAAGGTTTTTGTATCAACTCATAGATCACCATTCAAGTGAAATTGTAAGCTTAGTTTGGAGAGTCAATATGCTGCTTCTATTTTATGATGTATGAAACATAAAAGTCGGTTTAAAAACTATTTTTCATCACTTTACCAGTTAAAACTAACATTTTTAACCTACGTCGTGGGTCGTGTCGTGCGAGGGCTTGGTAACTATATATTATGGTAATAACTGATTATAAATAATATGGTTTTAAAGTTGAACTGTAGCCAATTCTTGGTATACTTGGTTGCAACTTGGTTATTACATGATACCAAAAAATGAATGTCCAATCACAACGTTATTTGATCAACACGACGTAGCTTGAATCTGGCTTAAGAATGAATAAAATGTTCGTCACGTCCATATCTAACGGTCATATAACACTTATGTCGCGACGGCCGATGTCAAGCGGTCATGCAGTCATGCGTCATGCGAACGTCTTGTGATGCATCACCAAATGAATACTGAAATATCACAGGTTTTTATATTATTATTATCATTATGCCATCTCTAGAGCATAAGCCTAACGCACATTTGTCGCAGTAAAAACGGCCTTGCGAGTAAATATGTTTTCGTATTTAAGGGCGCCTCCATTCGTGGCAAATAAGAACCTGATTGAACCTGATCACCTTAGGTTCCTTTCAAGTGTAAATTATAAGAACACAACGAAATACTACAATTTAATATAATATGACTGTATGGTCTCAAAGCCTGCACGACCGCGGGCTACCGACGACCACATGGTTTGAAAATGCATAGGTTGTATACCGCATACGCCCGGCGAACAGAACAAACAGTTATTTTACAAAACACATTTGCTATGATTTCTTAAAAAATTGTTATTTTTTACATGAATGTGCTTTAAACAAAATTATAAATGTTGAACTTTTAAAGAACTTCGAAACACTAAGGTTGTACGGAGACCGACTCACATCCCAGTACCACCAGTCCATTTGTTAAAAGATTATAATATGTTTTTTCTCGGTTTCCTTGTGTCTAAGGCATTCGCCGATGATAAGAACACTATTCCTAGTACCCACTATATTATGAAGAAACTGAACATGTTTCATTACATTTAAAATACTCAAATGCGTTGCATTGATTAAGAACAAAGTTACAAATACATTAAATAATGTACAATAATTTTGGTGGATAATAATTGATTTAAACTTAATAATATTGTATCGTACTCGTTAAGGACAATAAAATAGCATTAATTTATTCCTTATTGTTTATTTAGTTTATAATTATTCCAACAACGTTTTCGTTGGGGAAATGTGAATATTGTCATTAAAATAATTCTGATTATTTGACGATAACTTATACATAAACTATGATCAAAAATATAATTGTCAGTGCAATAATTAAATATTATCTTTACTATTTAAATTTAAATTTATATTTGATTTGTTTTGTTAAATATTTTTTTAACCGATAAGCTGTATTAACTATACAGTTAGCTTGGTGCGGAAAGCGATATAAATATAAATAGTAAAAATAAAAAAATATGTACAATTATTATTCGCCTATAGTAATTGAGCAGAACACTTAGGACAAATAACCACAGTTATATAGTAAAAACTTATCAAAAGTACAAATAATCACTTTAAAAAAAAGGTTTACTAACATAGTAAGTTTTAAAATAATACCTTACTAATTTAGAAATGTGGAGATTTTAAGAAAATCTGCACAAAACTTTCATCTGATATATTCTATTACACTATGTAATAACTATACTAGTGTATTACTTGATTTTTATTTTTAGTGACATTTTATTGTCTTGAATTTTTTTTTTCAATAAAACATACAATATTTCTGTAAATTCAAAAAGTGATTACACTACTCAGCACTTGGACTACCTGTATATTCGAATGTAACAAAATTAAAAATTTCAATTTTATAATGATTTATTATTTGTTGATATAACAGTATAAGAATATATTGTTTGATGATATAGGTAGTGCAAATATTATAATAATACCAATGACTGCTTGTCTAAGAAAATACTAATTTATGACTTTATATAATGATAGTAAGTACCTACCTACCTAAGTTGATTTATAGATTTAATAATACAGACATACAAAATCTATTATATCATAAACCTAAACATCAAACATTTTTACGTCACACACAGTTGGACGCTGATTCCGTATACAAATCAATATGACTGCACATTTAAAGTTAAAATAAGGCGCGTTGCCTAAGGACATCTCCTGCAATAGGTAGTTAAATTTCCCCAACTCTTCCACATAAATCTTTCTATAATTTATACTAACATTTACTAGTTATGTCTGCATTTGTACCCAATGCTAAAATAAATGCAAATCAATTTTCTTTTACATAAATCTCTCAAAAAAATTAACATCGTATAATGTGTACCTATTATATTTTCAATTATTTTAAACACGTGCTTTCCATAAAATAAAACAATCAACCAATGATTAATGATACAATAATTTTTTTTTTAAACTGACATATAGCAGTTAGGACCATTAACGAAATTCTTTAAACACATTATACCTTCATCGCTACTATCAACTTAACAAAATATGTTCATAATCCAACAATTCTAATATTATTTTGTATAAGACCTATTCATGAATAAATTACAATATTTTTATATTATTCCTTCATAATCATTACGTAGGTACTGTATGTCTGTGTAGCTCTGCAAATAAACATTTTTTTCATGTACCTAATAATAAAATTATCGTTGCATTAAAATAATTTTTTAATACTAATGACTAATAAATAATAACCCTATTATACTACCCACTTCCCTTCGCTTGGGTATAGAATTAACTATCCTATTGACATTTTGTTCCATAAATGTTCTCATACGCGCTGTCTAGTTCTTACATAATACTTTTTTTTATGTATGTTGTAATCTTCTATATAAACAAATATATATATACTCATTTACAAAAAAAATATATCTTGCTTACAGTTGAAAAAAAATCATTGAACTATGGGTTTTAAAATTGCTTAGCTTAGGTACTTGTGTACCTATAATTACCTGGTACCAAAACTTAACATAAAAACATTATATTTATATATGATTTGTAAGCATCTAAAAAAATAATTCAATTCATACTTTAACACTTGACATAAGTATATTTTATAAAATGATATTAAATTAATGAACAAAAAAAAAAATGATACATTCAGTTTACGTGATCAATATACATTAAAATGAAAATAAATGTAAACGATTTTTTTTTAAAACATCAAACAATATAAAATAATATAAATGAATAATATCAAATAGTATTGTTCTACATTATTTTTATTATAAATCTAATGGTAACAATATAATTTAAATATTTCTCGATTTTCTAAATTGCGGTTTGGCGCATAATTATCCTAAAAAATTATATACTAATGATTCTAATTGTAATAATAATATAATTATGATGTAATATTCTAATATGGTAACGGCGTTAAATTGCCAATTTTTTCGGTTGGCTAACACACTAATGAGGCGTCATGTAGGCACACAAACACACACTCACACACACACACGTACGTGTTATGTGTTTGAGAAGTGTGTTATAATATATTATATTTATGATTTTTTTTATGATTTTTTTTATGATTTATGTTCCACACACGGAGGTTAGGATGTTCTAGACCTTGAGGATGACCAGGTCACCGTCTTCGGTGCCACTGGAAGACGACTTCGGTGATTCGGATTCAAAAAGAGCTGTGCCCTGTGCTGAAAACGCGCCTGGATACTCGAAAGATGGGCTGGCCTTGGGGTAAGTGTAACCGGTTGCAGCAGATGGATACGCTAGCGGCTCGCTGGGTCGGTCGTATGAATAGCCGGCGGACGCGGACGGGACAGGGGCGGGGGCTGAGACCACGCCGTAGTCGGTGGACGGCACTCCAATGGACTCGACAACAACATTGTGGTGCTTGTGGCCACAGTCAGCTGGGTGCTTGGTATCCGGTACGATGGATATCTCGTTCTGACGAGTCTCCACCAAACCTTCGGTAATTGGTTCCGGCTCTGGTGTCGTGGTGGTGGTTGTAGTGGTTGTGGTAGTGCTAGTCACGTGAACGTGTTTATCACAGTTCTCAGTAGGGGCTGGTGATGGTGCGATGTATGGCCGGAGGAACTGCGGTGGCGGAGTGGGAACGGCAAATCTTTGCACGGCCACGGGTTTCCTTTGTTCGGGGAATATCTCGTTTTCGCTGATGACCACTTGTACCTGGGGCTTAGGTGGGGCTACGAAACGTGGCACGAAGAAAGTGGGTTGTGGTTGGAATGTGGGCTGTGGCTGAAATGTGGGCAGAGGCTGGAATGTGGGCTGTGGTTGGAATTTTGGTGTCTGGTATGGTGGCAGGAGCCCGGTGTCCACGACGTGCAAGTGTTCTGGGTGGTCGCAAGCCGGCTTGGCCACTGAAATCGTGTTGATAGATTCAGCCGGGTAGTAAGGGTTCTGTGGTGGTGGTATGTACACTGGTGCCGCAGTGGATGGTTTCAGTGTGGTGGTGGTCGTGGTTGTCGTGGTTGGTGGAGGAAGGTAAACAGGAGCTTCGTAAGACGGTTCAGGTTTGATGATGGTTGGCTTGACGTCTGAGGCTTGACCTTCCGGTGTGGCAGGGCCAACTCGCTTACCAAACATGTACGTGCCTTCTGGTACGTTGGGTCGTATCTTCTCACCGGGCAAGTTGAACAGGTACCGGTAGAACGACAGCGAACAAGGAGTGCTGGTCTCTTGACCGTAAACATGGCATGCTGCCACTACCAACAGTACCAACGACAATTGGGTGAATCCGTTCATGATGCTTCACCTGGAAAATAGCGAAAAACTTTGTGTTAGTGAGTTGCTGTAATTAAATTGTTTGAATATTATTTCAACAACACATTACATAATAATAAGTATTTAATTAGAGATGTGATCGAATATGAGAGAAATGATTTAAGGGTTTAATATAGTTACTTACTGTTTTGGTTTCTAACTATTACCACATGGATATACAAATAAACACATAATATAATTTTATTACCTGTGATTAATTATTTGTGTATATTAATTAGTAATTACAAATAACTATTCACATTTTAATTCTTTAGATAAGTATTGTAGGGAGGATACTTATCTAATGGTCATCTTAGATAAAATAAAGGTACCTCTAGCTTGAATCAAAACATAACACTCAATAATTTAAATGGTCGTATAATAAGGTGTAAGACGCCATAACATACTATGCAAAATCATAAATAACAATATTTTGGTTGACAGTTGGAATTATTTATGTTGGATTAATTAATACAGCAAATATTATGTATTTACAATGTGCTTATTGTAACATATAAGGTCCTGCTAATGTTATATTTATTTATTTAAAATATGATCGTACTACAATGTAAGAATCTATTTTAATTTTAATATAGGCATACATACTGAATTACTAAATATTAGCTATTAAAAACAAAAACACAAAACGAGTAACAACGAAACCATTTTACACTCTGCGTGCCAACTCCCCTGGGTGAGCAGGCATATACAATATTATATTATATATATATATATATATGACTTACACCTATAATTCATCACGGATGTACCGCCGACACGATGAGCTCTGACAATTGCAAGTGCATCGTAATATACTGGACGACAAGCTGTGTACGCCAATACCGTGTTTAATAGATGGAATTTTTTTTTTCATCATTATTATTGCCTATATAGCTATACCGTGGTCAGTGATGTGAGAACAGCTGGACTTTTGGACCACGTCCAGTTCGGATATATCGTATATAATATTATGCCGAACGGCTAACACGGTTCTTCTTCTTATTATTATTATTATTATATTATGTTTCGTTGGGTTTCTACAAGTATGTCCACCGATGATAAATCCCGTATGTAAATTCGTAATCAAAACCGATAACTCATTGTGGCATATTATGCTTGCGCTAGCTAGCTACCTACTTTGATTGAACATATATTACATTTAACTCGAGACATGCGGTTATGCAACGGACGAACGTTTTTTATTTTCAACGGCGTGCAGTTATCGAAACCACTATTGATTGTATCTGGTACTGCTTTCGAGAATTTAAACACTTAGCGAGCGTGTCATATTGCGCATGCGTGTATTAAAATATCATATTACCTACTGCCTATTAGATATATAGAACTGCGAAGAATATGATTGACCGTAGAACTATGTAACGATTTTCGGTATAGTCTTAGATAATATTATTATTACCCGACAGGTAAAAAGTAAACACGGTCATCTTGGATGGCGGTGACTTTTTTATCGTCCCGGATTTTGAAACGGGTTATTCGGGTTTTTATTTTTGGCATAATATCGGGGATAATAATATTGCATACGATCGTTTAATTGAAAAATGTGGAAACCAGTTGCAACAAACTCGAGGGAAGATTATACATTTTTTTACTAAACTATTGATTTTTTCTTTTTGACATTCCAACCACCTGCCTATTTTTTGGATTTACGCAACAATATTGTGTAACTCCCTTGGAATTTGTCACATCCTTCCTTCGCGATATGGTGATATTATCCACAACATGCAGTTCAAGAACAGCATTTGTCTGCACTTCGAGTTGATGAGTACCAGAAGTATTAACTTCGTTGGACCTTGGCCCAGTGATGATTTCTCTGAATTTATGTCACTACGTTTTATAGTTTAAACTAGTTTTGAACGATCTTCCCAATTATAATAATTTTAAGACGAACATCGAAATATGCTAATTTATATTTCAATACTGTTTTAAACTAAAAATTAGAAGTTGACCCAAACCCGTCAATATAATATAATATATTAAACATTATATAATATTTTGTTGAAAATATCAAATTTATAATAGAGGTCTTACGTATTTAAATACAATACCTAATTTTTTTCTTTCGTTGTCATTGTCTTACTCTTGAAAACAAACAACATAGTGCTATTGAGCTCAGTAGTTAGAATTTCGTTTTGTTGGTTTAAATATTAGAGTATCCTGAAATAATACTATCGAATTTTAAAGGAGATTCTATATGGTTTATGAGTAAGTAAATGAAAATGAGAAATTATTTTAAAATGATAAAATATAGCTTTTAAAAATATCGAAACAAATAACCATAACACGATTTCTCATTATGTCCTATATAGCGCTGAAAATTATAAAAAATGGGCCAACTGAAAAATGATTTCAAACGAATGTCATAGGAAATAACGGAAAATGTGTTACTATTGGCAGTCACAAAATGTAGTTAGGTACCTATATACGTAAAAGACGATTTCCAATTATGAGCGTAGTTTGCATTGTACATAATATTTTTAATAAAATCTATCTCAATACTTATTGGGTTTCATCTATTGGGTGGTTAAGTGTGTGCAAACAGATACTTTTTCCGGCTCAATCTGAAAATTGAAGGGTAGTTGAATGAGGTCACATTCACACAGAGGGGTATGTTTGATCAGCTACATTTTGGAAAATCGCTGGCCCTATCGATTCATGAATATTATTAAAAACTATTGTGTCACACAGTCGTGTTTTTACAGAGGATAAAAACGTAACGACGTCAAAGTATAATATATTCTCGTTTTTGACCGTTTCGCAACACATCCGGTCGGAACGGTCAACGATCGTTTTCAAAACGGAAGTCGGGGACGTTTTGGACATAACGCTGCACGGGGAAAAAATGAACATATAAAATATAGTATCAACCAACAAAAAATACACGTCATATTATTCCAGCGTGAAATACCGAACGGTTAGGTATGGACCACGCGCCCGTGTCCGCTGTGACCGGATACTTGGTTTATCCGTCTCGATTTGGAGATAAACACGAGCGATGAGCGCCGCCGTTCGCACGGCATCACTGTGCAGTTGGCGTTTCGGCTAAACCCGAAAGAAAAAACAAATTTAATCACGCGTCCACGTTGCCGACGGCTATCCGGGGGGAGGGGCGGGGGGGGGGCAATCAATCATCCGTTGGCCAGGCGCGACTCGCACATAGGTAATCGACGACGACGAGTGTTCCACACGGACGCGCATAATATAGAAGTCACGCGGAAGTCGTCGAGTCGATTAATATTAATAACGATTATAATGATAATAATAATAATTGCGTGCCAAATGTTTTCGTTTTTCGACATACCTACGCGTCCCGTGCGTCGAAGAATCACCTTTCCACCAGACGCTCCCGTGACGTAACCTTCTGCCTCGGTGGCCAAAACACTATTACACGCGGCTGCATTGCAATAATGACGACGGCGAAGTTAATAATGTTATGCGCTTTACTGTTAATAGGTATACACCCATTATACGCGCTTGTTACGACACCCGTTCGCGTGTATAAAATATTACCATATACCAACGTTACCGGACCAACGCACGTGCAGTCATCGCCGTAACGTCTATCCTCGGATCGTACATTTATATTTACGAATAATATAATATGTGTTACGATTCGAGTGTTTATCCGCATCGAGGGGCACGTCAACTAGATTGATCCGACGTTTTTCGGTAAGTCATTTGGCGAAAAGTGTGGTTTGGACGATAGCCGTTCCCGAATCGTGTCCTCTCTGCTAGATCGGATGCCACGCATAATTTACGGTTCACTCGCACGCTGCACACTATACGCGTTTTTTGCAACTTGTGAACTTTCTTAATCGAATGCGTTGCGTATAGAACATTGGTTATGGCTTATAATCTCGACTTTTGTCGACAGTGTTTTGGCGTACAAAACTCTACACTCGCTACATTGTTAAACAATAGATTTTAAAATGGCGGTGATAGACTGACTTATTTAAAATAAAAAATAATAATAATCGAGAACAAAAAGCACACACGCTATAAAAACGAGTACCCAATACAAGTTCTGTTTTGCTTCGTTTTAAATTGAAATTTATTGGTATTGAGTAGAGAAATACGATATACTTTATCAAATGTATAGAGGTGGGCCAAACTCAGAACTAATATGGTCTCGAACCGAACCTTTTAATAGTTAGTAGAACCGAACTCACACCGAACTTCTTAATACTTTAATAGTATGTCGAACCGAACAATTCGGTGTGATGCTGAACTCGATATGTTCAAAATCGATCCGCACCCGTACCAAACATTTTGTTTACCACCAAACTGAATCTAAGCCAAGCTTTTGAATAAAAACTACGACTCAAACTTTTTAGTTTCACGATAAACGAAAATATAAAATATAAAACAATTTTTGTTCGAAACGTGTGATGTATTCCGATTATTTTTTAAATTTGTACACTTTTTCGAATTAATTATTGAATTTCAACCTTGTTGTTGGAGTTCTGTTTGGTTTGGATTTTTTAAAACTAGGTTCGACTTTTATATTCAAACCAAGTTAAGTTATGTTTGATTTTTTGAACTTAATAAGACAGTTAGACCCATCAGTCACCACTAATATACATGTATAATATATTATTTATTGTCCATCCAAAAAACGAGTTATCATTTGAAATCTTGATATATATCTATAAATTATACAAATCTTGTAATCATTTTTATGATTTTTGAACTTTAACAGTTCTTAAATTTACTAAATATCTATACTCATTAGTTATTATATTATGACGTATTGTAAAACGTACGAATACCCTTTTTGCAGTAGGACATGCAGGTCATCGATAATATATTATTAACTCGTTAACTTTTAGAACATTTAGTTTACCCTCTTATTAAAAAAGCCACTATTTTAAGAAAACTCTTAAGTATTCAAAAATAATCCTTTATAATTTTATACTTCTAAATATCAAATAACTACGAAAGTTTTTATGTCGACACTAGCAGTGACTGAAATGT